TTAACGTTAGACAGGAATTGTAGCCAGCTGAAATAGCTTTCTAATGCCGCCGAAACCAGTTGATTTGGAGTCCGGATGAGAAAGTTATGCTCGACTTCGTGGACGTACACTACCAAAGATGTTGAGGGATTCTCTCTTCCAATTTAATTTTATTTTCCTAATTGCAAATCTTTTCTTTCTCTTTCATAATTTTTGCTTCCTGGACACCTAATTTTCGTTTTGTACCTATAAGATACCAAATCCACCAATTCAAACAGAAAATAAATTAATCCAAAAAAAAAATCCACTTAAACGTAAACGTAGAGTTTTATTTCAACACTCCACTATATCTTTTTTATCTAGTGTTTTTGCTGTTGTTTATTGATGCGTATTAAAGTCCTAGTATTGTAGTTCGTGTTTTTAAGAACGTTGTTGCGAATGCACTTTTGCGCATGTTTTTTTACATGTACGTTAGTGCATGTCCATTTGAGCGAGTGTGCTTGTGCATGTTTGTTGATTTGTATTAATGTCCTAGGATTGTAGTTTGTGTTTTCATGATCCTTTTTGCGAATGCACTTTTGCGTGAGTACTTTTGTGCATGCCTTTGTATACTTATGTGCGTATCTTTCTAGTGACAGTTTTTTAGCACGTTTCTCGATGCGAATTCATGTCCTCGAACTGTAGTACGTATTTTCATGATCGCTTTTGGAATCCAATTTCGACCATGTTCGAGTTCGAATTTGGATTTTTAACGTTAGACAGGAATTGTAGCCAGCTGAAATAGCTTTCTAATGCCGCCAAAACCAGTTGATTTGGAGTCCGGATGAGAAAGTTATGCTCGACTTCGTGGACATACACTACCAAAGATGTTGAGGGATTCTCTCTTCTAATTTAATTTTATTTTCCTAATTGCAACTCTTTTCTTTCTCTTTGATCATTTTTGCTTCCTGGACACCTAATTTTTTATTTGTACCTATAAGATACCAAATCCACCAATTCAAACAGAAAATAAATTAATCCCAAAAAAAAAATCCACTTAAACGTAAACGTAGAGTTTTATTTCTACACTCCACTATATCTTTTTTATCTAGTGTTTTTGCTGTTGTTTATTGATGTGTATTAAAGTCCTAGTATTGTAGTTCGTGTTTATAAGAACGTTGTTGCGAATGCACTTTTGCGCATGTTTTTTTACATGTACGTTTGTGCATGTCCATTTGAGCGAGTGTGCTTGTGCATGTTTGTTGATTTGTATTAATGTCCTAGGATTGTAGTTTGTGTTTTCATGATCCTTTTTGCGAATGCACTTTTGCGTGAATACTTTTGTGCATGCCTTTGTATACTTACTTATGTGCGTATCTTTCTAGCGACAGTTTTTGTGCACGTTTCTCGATGCGCATTCATGTCCTCGAACTGTAGTACGTATTTTCATGATCGCTTTTGGAATCCAATTTTGACCATGTTCGAGTCCGAATTTGGATTTTTCACGTTACACAGGAATTGTAGCCAGCTAAAATAGCTTTCTAATGTCGGCAGAACCAGTTGATTTGGAGTCCGGATGAGAAAGTTATGCTCGACTTCGTGGACGTACACTACCAAAGATTTTGAGGGATTCTCTTTTCTAATTTGATTTTATTTTCCTAATTGCAAATCTTTTCTTTCTCTTTGATCATTTTTGCTTCGTGGACACCTAATTTTGGATTGGTACATATAAGATACCAAATCCACCAATTCAAACTGAAAATACATTAATCCAAAAATAAAATCCACTTAAACGTAAACGTAGAGTTTTATTACTACACTCCACTGTATCTATTTGACCTAGTGTTTTTGTTGTTGTTTGTTGATGCGTATTAAAGTCCTAGTATTGTAGTTCGTATTTATAAGAACGTTGTTGCAAATGCACTTTTGCACATGTTTTTTTACATGTACGTTTGTGCATGTCCATTTGAGCGAGTGTGCTTGTGCATGTTTATTGATTTGTATTAATGTGCTAGGGTTGTAGTTTGTGTTTTCATGATCCTTTTTGCGAATGCACTTTTGCGTGAGTACTTTTGTGCATGCCTTTGTATACTTACTTATGTGCGTATCTTTCTAGCGACAGTTTTTGTGCACGTTTCTCGATGCGCATTCATGTCCTCGAACTGTAGTACGTATTTTCATGATCGCTTTTGGAATCCAATTTCAACCATGTTCGAGTTCGAATTTGGATTTTTAACGTTAGACAGGAATTGTAGCCAGCTGAAATAACTTTCTAATGCCGCCGAAACCAGTTGATTTGGAGTCCGGATGAGATAGTTATGCTCGACTTCGTGGACGTACACTACCAAAGATGTTGAGGGATTCTCTCTTCTAATTTAATTTTATTTTCCTAATTGCAACTCTTTTCTTTCTCTTTGATCATTTTTGCTTCCTGGACACCTAATTTTCGTTTTATACCTATAAGATACCAAATCCACCAATTCAAACAGAAAATAAATTAATGCAAAAAAAAAAAAATCCACTTAAACGTAAATGTAGAGTTTTATTTCTACACTCCACTATATCTTTTTTATCTAGTGTTTTCGCTGTTGTTTATTGATGCGTATTAAAGTCCTAGTATTGTAGTTCGTGTATATAAGAACGTTGTTGCGAATACACTTTTGCGCATGTTTTTTTACATGTACGTTTGTGCATGTCCATTTGAGCGAGTGTGCTTGTGCATGTTTGTTGATTTGTATTAATGTCCTAGGATTGTAGTTTGTGTTTTCATGATCCTTTTTGCGAATGCACTTTTGCGTGAGTACTTTTGTGCATGCCTTTGTATACTTACTTATGTGCGTATCTTTCTAGCGAGAGTTTTTGTGCACGTTTCTTGATGCGCATTCATGTCCTCGAACTGTTGTACGTATTTTCATGATCGCTTGTGGAATCCAATTTCGACCATGTTCGAGTCTGAATTTGGATTTTTCACGTTACACAGGAATTGTAGCCAGCTGAAATAGCTTTCTAATGCCGCCGGAACCAGTTGATTTGGAGTCCAGATGAGAAAGTTATGCTCGACTTCGTGGACGTACACTACCAAAGACGTTGAGGGATTCTCTCTTCTAATTTAATTTTATTTTCCTAATTGCAACTCTTTTCTTTCTCATTGATCATTTTTGCTTCCTGGACACCTAATTTTCGATTTGTACCTATAAGATACCAAATCCATTAATTCAAACAGAAAATAAATTAATCCAAAAAAAACAAATCCACGTAAACGTAAACGTAGAGTTTTATTTCTTCACTCCACTGTATCTATTTTATCTAGTGTTTTTGCTGTTGTTTATTGATGCGTATTAAAGTCCTAGTATTGTAGTTCGAGTTTTTAAGAACGTTGTTGCGAATGCACTTTTGCGCATGTTTTTTTACATGTACGTTGTTGGTGCATGTCCATTTGAGCGAGTGTGCTTGTGCATGTTTGTTGATTTGTATTAATGTCCTAGGATTGTAGTTTGTGTTTTCATTATCCTTTTTCCGAATGCACTTTTGCGTGAGTACTTTTGTGCATGCCTTTGTACACTTACTTATGTGCGTATCTTTCTAGCGAGAGTTTTTGTGCACGTTCTTGATGCGCATTCATGTCCTCAAACTGTAGTACGTATTTTCATGATAACTTTTGGAATCCAATTTTGACCATATTCAAGTCCGAATTTGGATTTTTCACGTTAGACAGGAATTGAAGCGAGCTGAAATTGCTTTCTAATGCCGCCGGAACCAGTTGATTTGGAGTCCGGATGAGAAAGTTATGCTGGACTTCGTGGACGTACACTACCAAAGATGTTGAGGGATTCTCTCTTCTAATTTGATTTTATTTTCTTAATTGCAACTCTTTTCTTTCTCTTTGATCATTTTTGCTTCATGGACACCTAATTTTCGATTTGTACCTATAAGATACCAAATCAACCAATTCAAACAGAAAATAAATTAATCCAAAAAAAAAATCCACGTAAACGTAAACGTAGAGTTTTGTTTCTACACTCCAGTGTATCATTTTTATCTAGTGTTTTTGCAGTTGTTTGTTGATGCGTATTAAAGTCCTAGTATTGTAGTTCGTGTTTATAAGAACGTTGTTGGGAATGCACTTTTGCGCATGTTTTTTTACATGTACGTTTGTGCATGTCCATTTGAGCGAGTGTGCTTGTGCATGTTTGTTGATTTGTATTAATGTCCTAGGATTGTAGTTTGTGTTTTCATGATCCTTTTTGCGAATGCACTTTTGCGTGAATACTTTTGTGCATGCCTTTGTATACTTACTTATGTGCGTATCTTTCTAGCGACAGTTTTTGTGCACGTTTCTCGATGCGCATTCATGTCCTCGAACTGTAGTACGTATTTTCATGATCGCTTTTGGAATCCAATTTTGACCATGTTCGAGTCCGAATTTGGATTTTTCATGTTAGACAGGAATTGTAGCCAGCTAAAATAGCTTTCTAATGCCGGCAGAACTAGTTGATTTGGAGTCCGGATGAGAAACTTATTCTCGACTTCGTGGACGTACACTACCAAAGATTTTGAGGGATTCTCTTTTCTAATTTGATTTTATTTTCCTAATTGCAAACCTTTTCTTTCTCTTTGATCATTTTTGCTTCGTGGACACCTAATTTTGGATTTGTACATATAAGATACCAAATCCACCAATTCAAACTGAAAATACATTAATCCAAAAATAAAATCCACTTAAACGTAAACGTAGAGTTTTATTTCTACACTCCACTGTATCTATTTGATCTAGTGTTTTTGTTGTTGTTTGTTGATGCGTATTAAATTCCTAGTATTGTAGTTCGTATTTATAAGAACGTTGTTGCAAATGCACTTTTGCACATGTTTTTTTACATGTACGTTTGTGCATGTCCATTTGAGCGAGTGTACTTGTGCATGTTTGGTTATTTGTAGTAATGTCCTAGGATTGTAGTTTGTGTTTTCATGATCCTTTTTGCGAATGCACTTTTGCTTGAGTACTTTTGTGCATGCTTTTGTACACTTAGTTATGCGCGTGTAATTCCCAATCATCCATACATGGTCAATAATAAGCATATTGCATCATATAGTTATAATTCATTATCATGATGCATGATCACGACTACTTGCTACACATGTGCCCTAATTGTGTCTTAATACGTGATCGAATATTGTTCTTAAAATGTGCTAATACATGATACATGTTATTGAACTTCTACTTTATGATTTAACATTAACTTAAATGATTTATTGTAGTGAGAAGTTAAGTTTCTCGGTTAAGACGGGATCAATATGCTAAACGGTGATATATTTGTCTTAGATGCATTTCTGCATCTTAATTACATTTTAATATGATTAATTACATATGTAATTACTTCAAGTAACTCATATAAGGCTAAAATCAAAAGTATGCAAAAGGGTGCAATTTGATTGGTTGGTTGACTAGGTTGCACAAGACCATTCTCAAATTGGTTACACTTGATTATAATGAGTAAGCATCAGCCCATATCTTATCTCAAGCTACAAAAACGTGGAGGAACCACAAGAATGCAGCAAATACAAGCCTTCCAATCACAACCCTCCATTTGGCCTTGTTGGGAATGGGGAGATAAGTGAAGACTTTGTGTTTTGGTCTTCATTTTCACTTGTTTTCTTCCGAAAACGACCAGACCTATTCCTTAAGCTACTCTTCTTATTTCTTCACTCCCATATTCAGATAAGAGAACATCAAACCATAAGAACTCATAGAGGTATAACTAGAACAAGTTTTGCACCTTTTCTAGCTGAAAATCCTATGTTTTGAAGTTTGAATTCATCTCTAATCAAGGCTTCTAGCACACCTTATCTAAGCTTGCTGATCCTTTCACTTCATAAACCATATTGATTTTGAGGTAAGTTGAAGCTTTCATTTGTTCATCATAAGAACCTAATTATGTGTGCTTTAATGTGACTTTTGCTACGTGTTCTTCACGATGTTTGAATGATTGATGAGTCATAGGGATATGAAAGAATATGTTTTCGAAAATGGGAGTATGGTACTTGATTGATGGTCGAGTAAGCAAGGGACGCGGGAGGAACCGGCGGACCCAACACATGGTGGCAAATACCTGAGGTCGAAAGACCAGTATGGAAAACCCACAATTAAAGAAATGAAATACGGCTAATACCTGAGGTCGAAAGGCCGGTATGGAAACCCCCGTATTATGTATTGGCCAAATATGATGAACAGGTTCCGAAAATCAAAGCCTATTGCTATCAGTCAAGTACCACACTTCAAGGGTACCCGAAAAAGAGAAGGATTTCAAAAGACAGGATCATGAATGAAGTTATATATGATATTGTACATATTGAATGACTAACGTGTTATGTGATATATTGCTATTACATCAGTTTCAACTTGCTGAGCCATTAGCTCATTAGGTTCTTATGATGCAGGTAATGATGTACATGTTTAGAAGTTGACCTAGCCAAGAGCGGCCAGTCAGATATTTGTTCATATGCCATGCTTCGAGCCATTTTTGTAGCCGAGCAGAAACTCTGATTTCATTTTGTTAGCCGCTCTATTATGGTTTTTATACAATGTAATTTTGTAAACGATGAATATATATATGTACGGGTTTTGAGAAAGTACAAAGTTTGACTTCTTTTCAAAGCATATAACGTATTTTTGTATTAAAACCATAATGTTTAAGGATATATATAAAAGGTTAGCATCCCTAACTTAATGGTGGTGATCCGATTGGATTCTGCTGTTAGGTTGTGGGGCGTTACAGCGCGTATCTTTCTAGCGAGAGTTTTTGTGCACGTTTCTTGATGCGCATTCATGTCCTCGAACTGTAGTACGTATTTTCATGATCGCTTTTCGAATCCAATTTTGACCATGTTTGAGTCCGAATTTGGATTTTTCACGTTAGACAAGAATTGTAGCCAGCTCAAATAGTTTTCTAATGCCGTCGGAACCAGTTGATTTGGAGTCTGGATGAGAAAGTTATGCTCGACTTCGTGGGCGTACACTACCAAAGATGTTGAGGGATTCTCTCTTCTAATTTGATTTTATTTTCCTAATTGCAACTCTATTCTTTCTCTTTGATCATTTTTGCTTCCTTGACACCTAATTTTCGATTTGTACCTATAAGATTCCAAATCCACCAATTCAAATAGAAAATAAATCAATCCATAAAAAAAATCCATGTAAACGTAAACGTAGAGTTTTATTTCTACACTCCACTGTATCTATTTTATCTAGTGTTTTTGCTGTTGTTTATTGATGCGTATTAAAGTCCTAGTATTGTAGTTCGTGTTTTTAAGAACGTTGTTGCGAATGCACTTTTGCGCACGTTTTTTTACATGTACGTTAGTGCATGTCCATTTGAGCGAGTGTGCTTGTGCATGTTTGTTGATTTGTATTAATGTCCTAGGATTGTAGTTTGTGTTTTCATGATCCTTTTTGCGAATGCACTTTTGCGTGAGTACTTTTGTGCATGCCTTTGTATACTTACTTACGTGCGTATCTTTCTAGCGACAGTTTTTGTGCACGTTTCTCGATGCGCATTCATGTCCTCGAAGTATAGTACGTATTTTCATGATCGCTTTTGGAATCCAATTTTGAGCATGTTCGAGTCCGAATCTGGATTTTTCACGTTAGCTAGGAATTGTAGCCAGCTGAAATAGGTTTCTAATGCCGTCGGAACCAGTTGATTTGGAGTCCGGATGAGAAAGTTATGCTCGACTTTGTGGACGTACACTACCAAAGATTTTGAGGGATGCTCTTTTCTAATTTGATTTTATTTTCCTAATTGCAAATCTTTTCTTTCTCTTTGATCATTTTTGCTTCCTGGAAACCTAATTTTCGATTTGTACCTTTAAGATACCAAATCCACCAATTCAAACAGAAAATAATTTAATCCAAAAAAAAATCAACTTAAACGTAAACGTAGAGTTTTATTTCTACACTCCACTATATCTTTTTTATCTAGTGTTTTTGCTGTTGTTTATTGATGCGTATTAAAGTCCTAGTATTGTAGTTCGTGTTTTTAAGAACGTTGTTGCGAATGCACTTTTGCGCATGTTTTTTTACATGTACGTTTGTGCATGTCCATTTGAGCGACTGTGCTTGTGCATGTTTGTTGATTTGTATTAATGTCCTATGATTGTAGTTTGTGTTTTCATGATCCTTTTTGCGAATGCACTTTTGCGTGAGTACTTTTGTGCATGCCTTTGTATACTTACTTATGTGCGTAATTTTCTAGCGACAGTTTTTGTGCACGTTTCTCGATGCGCATTCATGTCCTCGAACTGTAGTACGTATTTTCATGATCGCTTTTGGAATCCAATTTTGACCATGTTCGAGTTCGAATTTGGATTTTTCACGTTATACAGGAATTGTAGCCACCTGAAATAGCTTTCTAATGCCGCCGAAACCAGTTGATTTGGAGTCCGGATGAGAAAGTTATGCCCGACTTCGTGGACGTACACTACCAAAGATGTTGAGGGATTCTCTGTTCTAATTTGATTTTATTTTCCTAATTGCAACTCTTTTCTTTCTCTTTGATCATTTTTGCTTCCTGGACACCTAATTTTCGATTAGTACCTATAATGATGGAGGTCTAACCAACAGTTGGCAAGATGATCCTATCCAAGTCCCAACCAGACCAGTGACGAGGAGCCGAGCTAAGCAATTCAAGGAGAAGCTTGCTGCACTGATCCATAATGTCTTAACTAAGAAAGCTTCATTCAATGGTGATAAACAAGGGTGTATTATGCATATTCAAGTGGCGGAGTCACCCGACAAGTGTGGGAACCATGCGGGCTAAAGATCAGTCCAAGTTGAGCAAATAAGAGCAAGCATGATGAAGACCAAAGCCCACCCTACCTTAAATCCGTGAGTTCATCTCTAATCAGCTCATATTAGTGTGTTTATGGGCCTATTCTATTAAGGCCCTCTTTAATTTCGTGGCTCACTTGTTTAGAGCCTTTATTAAGTAGACTTAGGGTTTTATTTTTCCTTTCTTGAAGATTAAGTTTTGGGGGCTATATATATGCCTTATTATTCATATAAAAGACAGCTGTTGATTATTAATTAAATTGTGAGGTTATTCTCGATCTAGAACTAACATAACTCTACTAACACTACCAAATATTGCGAAAACATTCCAGATCATGAGCGATGCCTGCAGAGAAGGCAGAGGGGCTACTTTGAGAAAAGAAGGACGACCGTTTGAATGGCTTGGCGATTACCTGACTGACGCAGCCTAAAACTACCCAACCTATGATACGCATTTGTATGACCTGGATTGAGCATTATAGACTTGGCGACTTTGTCCTTCGCCTAAAAAGTTTGTGATTCAGAGACATCATGAAGCTATGAATTCCTGGAAGGGACAACGCACGATGAACCAAAATGCATGGCCAAAGGATGTGATCCTGTGAGACAT